CTCGGTCAAATTATTTAGCTCGTTGTAGGAATTTACACAGGATCCGAAACAGTTTTATAATTTCGTTAAGACTAAGCGTAGACCAAAACGTTTCCTTCAGCACTAACGTTTGAAAACTCAACGGCGAGAACTGATCAGGCAATAGCCGATATGTTCGCCAAGTTTTTTCAATCCACATATTCACCTTCGACAACCGCTAGGCAGCCTTATGTCTACGGTGTTCCGCAGTCGAATCTCGTCACGCGATCTTTTCTATCTAAGAGTGGTATTCTGAAGGATCTTCAGAGTATTAAGCGGACCTACCCTCCGGGCCCCGACGGCGTTCCCGGCTGTGTGCTTACGTACTGCGCGTCTTCCATTTACAATCCTCTTCTCAAACTCTTTAATCTCTCATTTGAAACGGCTACGTTTCCCCCTATTTGGAAGGAATCTTTCATCATTCCTTTATACAAGAAAGGGAAAACTTCGGATGCTGGTAATTATAGAGGTATCTCTAAATTATCAGCAATTCCTAAACTCTTTTAGAAAATTATTGTGCCCCATTTGCAACACCAGTGTTGATCAGTAATATCTCCATATCAACATGGTTTTATGACTCGACGGTCTACAACTACAAACTTACTTGAATTTACCTCTTATGTCATCACTGGGTTCCGAAAAAGTCTTTGGACAGATGTCATCTACACTGACTTTAGTAAAGCATTTGACTCTGTAAATCACTCACTTTTAGTTCATAAACTTTACTTAATCGGATTTCCATGCGATCTTCTTAGGTGGGTTGAAAGTTATCTGACTGGTAGAACGCAACGTGTTTTATTTAAAGATTTCTTGTCTGGTCCGATTTAAGCTTCATCCGGTGTCCCTCAGGGAAGCCATTTAGCTTCCAAAAAAGCTTTCTCTTATTTGCTCTTCGTGGCCAAAATTGGGATGCAAGCTTACATCTTCCCTCCTATAAAAACAGACTATTACTAATAAACTTACCGACCCTTGCTAACCGTATTACAATGCTTGGCGTTGTTTTTATTAACAATCTTATTAGTGGGGATATTGATAGCCAAGCCCTAATAGGTCCCTTAAACATCAATGTGCCCGCTAGGCCCACTAGAAACTATATTCCCTTATTCTTGGGACATTGCAGCTCAAACTTTGCCCTTCATGAACCATTTAGGGTATTATGTTCGAATTACAATACCCTCTACCACATTACATCCAATACTTCTCCTACTAACGTAAAAATTGTCTTACTAAACCACTTAGAATATATTTAATTTCGTAGTTTATAACATTTTCCACTCGGTACTATCCCCGTGTTCCGAGCCGTACGATAAACGGCAGCGCCCCACGGTCGGTTGGGTGGGTTGCACGTTAAGCAACGGGAGTCGCGAACAAAAAAATATGGATAGCTTCCAGAGGTGGTATGATTTTAAACTCTTCAATTTAAATGGTCTTAGTTGTAATATTATGACTTTTTATAGGGGCATCCCTATATTTTAATGATCCTTATACAACCAAATTGTTACACACTTCCTGTTTCAGACCAATCCTGAAATATTGCTGTGCTGTTTAGAGTCCCCAGTATCAAGTACACATTGACCGTATTGAGTCAGTAATGAAGAAATTTCATAGTTTTGCCTGGTCCAGTTTGAACTGGGATCAAAATGTAATGTTGCCTAGTAAGCTTATTTTCGCTTAATCTTCCTACCCTCTTAAATCGAGGAATTATGTTTGGTACTATGTTTATGACTAATCTTATTCGTGATGAGGTAGACTTTATTTATTTACTAACCCGTTTAAATTTAAATGCACCTTCTATACTTACACGTAATTAGATTCAACACCTTGCTTAAAAATACTAGTTCTAAGGTATTTACGTGGTATTTATGCAGTTTTTTTGAGTGTTTTATATGTTTTCTGCGATTTCGATTATCCAAATTAATAAGGGCCCCGCGCGTCAGAAGCGCATTCTTCGTGTCTTTGAGCCTTGATTGTACTGCTCTAAGTGCATCTGGTGCATCAGTTCTGGCAAAATCTCAATAATTCTATCAGTAAGATAGCAATTTGTCCGAAAATTAAAATAGCCTCAGCAGAAGGCAGTGTATTGATTCTGAACCATTCAGCATGGTATTTACATAGTAAATACCATATCAACGTCCAAAGTGCATTCAAAAGACTACTAAATACAACAAATACAGATCAGATAGTCAAAACAAACAAATAAAACATGAACCACTTTCAAGCCATAATGTAGTTAAAACATACTCAGAAAACAGAGAAAAATCTGTATTAACCAAACTTTCGGAAAATACTCTCCCACAATTTCATACACAACTAACAACATTATGCACCGAATATAGCCACGGATTCGGACTAGAAACCGAATAACTAAAAGTTATTTTTATAAACCAAAACTAAGATTGAAGGTCGATGAACCAATATACACAAAAATATATAAATCCTTATAGTCAAAAAGACGAAATTCAAGAACAAGTCCAAAAATTCATTAATGACAAAATAATCAAACCATATGTATCTCCTTATGATAACTACCAAAAAGGTCACTTCCAAATTCCAAAAAAAAAGACGAGTAATTGACTATCGTCAGATTAATATAAAACAACTTTTGTATGATAAATTTCTTCTTTCTATAATTGAAGATATCTTTGATCAACAATCTATGGCTTATATCGATTCACGCGATTTCCATTCGGCTTAATAATAATGCCAAATTCCTTTCAGAGAATAATGACTATAGCTTTCTCTGGATTAGAACCTGCGCAAGCATTTCTTTATATGGATGACTTAATAGTTATAGTTGCTCATAGGTTGTTTAGAAAAACATATGCTCAAAAACTTAATTGATGCTTTTGAGAAATGTAGGTTGCGGATCACTCGGAATTGCAGAGTCTCGGTCAGAAAAATAGCCCGTGAAATCGGAGTGAATCGAGAAAGTGTTCGGTTGATTGCAAAAAATGAACTTAATCTCAAGCCCTACAAGCTTCGAAAAGTGCATCTTCTTACGGATGACAATAAGCGCGTGAGACTTCAAAGATACCGTCAGCTAAAGCGTCGGACCGCAGGTCCAAAATGGGAGCGTATTCTCTTCACGGACGAGAAGATATTCATTGGAAACTGTTGTGCTTCCTTGGGCCCAGCAGCACTTCGGTGATACGGAGTGGACGTTTCAACAGGATTCAGTGCCAGCCCATAGAGCCAAATTGATTCAGGACTGGTGCAAAACCAATTATTACATCCAGTGAATGGCCACCTTACTCGCCAGATCTTAATCCAATGGACTACAGTGTGTGGTCTATTTTGGAGTCCAGAGCATGTGCTAAACGCCACATAAGTTTGGAGGCGCTGAAGCAATCATTGCTCCGAGAATGGGATCGATTATCGGAAGAAGACTTGCGGCCCATTGCGCTCAATTTCCAGATACGTTTCGGGATCTGCATCGCAGCCCAAGGAAGCGACTTCGAAACTGGCTGAATATATGTTAACACAATACCTATTTAATAGTTGTGTATCTGCATTTTTTCTAAGATACAGTTTCTTAAAAAGTTATGATCAAAAATGTTTGACCGGGTTATTTATTGTCTTGGCCGACGACAAAAAGTACGACGTTATTCAAGATTATCCAGTCCCACATAGTGCGGACAGCGTTAGAGGATTCCTCGCAATTATTTGTAATTATTAAGGACGGGTTATACATAATTTTGCGGACTATTTTCGTCACATAACAAAAGTATGTAAGATGTACAATCCGAATGGACAACTAAATACCAAAACGCATTTGAACATATAAATCGCCATTAATGAACCCAACTATTTCCAGTTGCTACGCATCATTAGAGTACCTAATGCTAAATTAGAGTACGTAAAGGTAATTACAGTGGATCCAAGCTTATTTCGTGCAAGAAAAAATCGAAGTTTATATTTGATAATGCTACTAAACCAGCAGAGAAATCAAAAAAATTTAAACGCAGTAATGTTAAGAATGTCGCATATTATTAAAATAATAACATTTTCAAAATTTAAAAACTTCGATTGCTTCCTTGGTACTAGTTGTTTTGGTTGGATATAATCTGGTGAACTTTGTACATGCGTCGATTATTACTAGTATATGCTTTTTAGTTGTTTCCTTGCTATTTATCGGACCATAGTGATCAATATGAATGACTTCAAACGTACTTGTTCCTTTCGGAATGGGGTGTAAAAACCCCTCAGTTTTACCTGTTTTATTAGAAAATGCTATACACTTTAGGCAGCTCCTTATGTGACTCTCAACTTTCTTTCTAATACTTGGAAACCAATAACTCTTACTTATGAGGTCCGTTACTTTGTCAATTCCCACATGCCCTATCTCATCATGGTATTTGTACAGAACATTTTCTTCCATTGATTGCGGAACACAAAACAGTAGCCTATCGTTACTTTTCTTATATACAACACCATTTCGTAGTTCATAGTGCTTCCTCTTGACTTAACAACATTTCTTTAACTCTATTTATATTTTCATCTCTTCCCTGACATATAATTAGATTTTCTTCGAAAGTATTTGTTTCAATTACAAGAATGCTATTACTTCGACTAAGTGCATCCACATGCTGCATTCTTTTTCCCGATTTGTGCTCAAGCTCGTAGTCATCGTTTTGAAGCTCTAAAGCCCCCTTGCTATACGGGGATTTATTTCTGTTTTATTTAAAGTTAAAGTTAATGAATTGCAATCATAATTTTGAACCTAACTCCTTGCACATAAATTCGAAATCGTTTTAATGCGCTACCGCGGGCATGCTCGATTTCTCTACTCTTTTCTCTACATCTAACTCCTTCTCTAGATTGACTTCTACTTTGTTATTGTTTCCAAGATCGCTCTCTACTTTTGCCCCTACATCTACCTGTTTTTCTACATTGACTTCTACTTTGTTTGATAAATCACATTCGCACTTTTCCACTAAATGTATACCCACTGGCTTAACAGATAAATAGTTACCCTCGTTAATTACTTCTACAAGCTTAAAATTACTTAAATTTAATAAATCGCGTCCTACTACCATTACATTAAGTTTAATTTCGTTTATTCCGAAAAATGTATTATTCTACTTGTAATCTTCAATGACTAAGTTACTGACTACTTCCCGAATCTATGAGGCACTCTATGTAATAAAATTTGTAAGAAATGTGTATCGTATTTTTAAATTGGACTTTAAAATGTCTTACATATTCGTTGCTATATTCTCTCTTCTTGTACAATGAACACTCTTTAGCCAAGTGTCCAACCTCTCCACAGGCTTAGCAAGCTCTATCACCTCGTACCAGCTTGCGGCAGTCCTTAGCCAGATGACCAAGACTGTGGCTGTTAAAGCATTTGACCCTCTGTTCCGGAGTCGCAGCGTTTGATGAAGCCGTTCCTTGCATCCTACGTACCGGAGCTCTGGGTTTCTCTACATCTTGAAAGGCTTCCAACATATCAGCAGGCACTGCAAAACGTAGTAGTTTCGCTTGATTTTTAAGTTGTACATTTTGTATGCCATCTATCAAGTACTGCACTAGTTCGTGAACACTCATAGCGATGTTTTGTGCCAGAGTAAGCTTGTCAAAAAAGTAGATAGCAAATTTCTCGCCGAACTGCAACTTGCTGTTTTCAAACTTGCGTCGCATTTCCAAGACGTTATCCTTGGTTCCGACAAAAATTTTTAGTTTTGCCAGAATTAGGTCAATACTTCCAGCCAACAGTGATGGTCGAGATAACAGCCAAAAATTAGCCTTGCCCTTCAAGCGTGAGCAAATTAATGGACGCATGACGTCATTACTAACTTTGAACACATCACGAACGTTTTTAACCACCATCAACCATTCGTTTATGTTGCCATCGCCGTTGTATTCTGGGAGTAGCTCTCTGACGGTGTTTAAGTTCATCTCTGGCTTGGAAAGGCGGTCAACATTCTCGAAAATAAATTTTGAATTGCCTGTTCCATACCCGCAGCGTTGCCACCTGGATTACGTTGAACGCCAAAGGTTGGAGCACTTGGTTGAACGCCGTTTCCTTCAAGTTGAACGCCATCACGATCAACTGTCTCGACAAGTTTAGGTTCGTCGCCGAACACGTCGTCATCTTCTTCTTCGCTTTGTTCTTCGTTGTTGTTGTTAGCTGCATTGGCGACAGCCATCTCGCCATCTTGTTCTTCGTTGTTGTTGTTGGCTGCATTGGCGTCAGTCATCCCAGCACCAATTTCGCCTGTAGACACCTCGCAGTACAACTCCGGAGCAATTTCAGACGGTAGTACAGCATTTATTTGCGCAACTAGTGCGGCTTTGCTTCCTTTTGTGGATAAACCAAATTTGTCACAGAAACTTTTGATTTCCACTAATTTTAGTTCGCCGAGATTAATGCGTGAAGCCATTTTAATATTTTCCTATTCCAATATAACTCGGTTAGGTTCAGTTACCACTTCTGAATTATAGTATGGTGTCTTTATTGTATACTTGTAGTTATTCCGGTTCTTATCTTCCGATCACGCCGTCCACGTTTTATAGAATGTTTTTCTTTTTTTTCGTTTTCGCATTCCAGGGATGGAAGATACTCTCGATACTTTTACAAACCAGGGATAATATAAATAACTTAAACCTACGTTGACCATATTTATACTAAGAGTAGTTGCTTACATAGTTCTTATTACTACACTATGTAGCTCTTATAGGTCCCGAGATTTTTGCATTTTTGGTTTTCCGCTTGATCGGAAAAAAAGATTAAGGGCATCATAAAAACCTAAATGCTTAATCCGAACTTTCTATCTCTTATAGTTACCGAGATATCAGATTTCTAGAAAATCCGAAAACCGTCTTTTGAGCCCTGTGGGCGTATGTGTGCTTAATCTCAACTTTTTATCTCTTATAGTACCAGAGATCTCAGCGTTCATACGGGCAGACGGACATGGCTCAATCGTCCTCGCTAATGATTCTGATCAAGAATATGTATACTTTATAGGGTCGGAAACGCTTTCTTCAACCTGTTAAATACTCTTCAGCGAATCTCATATAAAAGGATATATGAGATTCGCTGAAGAGTATTTAACGGGGTAAAAACTTTTAGTATAAAAAAACTTCAGTATTACGTTATTTTTCAAAAGTAGGCTAAGGCATACTTTGTTTTACAGTGTACTTATGTATATAGTGACATATTCACATATTCAGTTATGTACCAAAAAATAAGAATATGCAGCGTAGGCGATCCCACGCTGAATCAATGTAAACAATCCGCATCCGGAGCAGGCGACGCCGCTCTTCAATAACATAAACAATTCTTGAAATCAATAAGTGTCGCAATCTGAGCGGCACTCTTACTCCCAAACTTATGTACAATCCATATCCCAATCGCTCCCAAACTTTTGTAAACAAAGGGCAGCACAAGAAAGTTTTTTGTCACAAGAAATTAGTCTTAAGCTGAGTTCATTTGAATAAAGACGTGAAACTAAATTCGTTGTTCGTTAATTTATTCTTCTTAGCGTTGTCCTTAGTCAACTGACGGGACATTAGTTCGACTCATAAAATTAGTAAACAATTTTACTATATATACACAAATGTCTCGGTCGTTAAATTCAAGTGCCCGGCAGTAAAATGATTGCGCCGCAGAGCCTAGTTTTTGGGAAGTGCTAGTGCCATCACATATCCATAGCCCTAATTCATATACATAAAATGCATGCATATAGAATTTCACTTGCTCTTTCGCTGTCACCCGCCTTATGTATGATGATTGAACGTTCTTATGTACAAGGCCGCTGCCGACCGCTCCCGACCTCTGCTGGCCGCGAGCCAATGACTGTAAAATCACTCTCATTTTGGACTGCAAATAGAGAACATCCAAATAAATGGAACTGCTTCATAAATAAAATTGCTGGGTGCCAGATAATTACCAACAACTATAAACTAACAACGATCATAGCATGAAAACCGTGTCATTGAATCAAAATCTTTGGATACCTGAATTGTGAAATATGGAAAATCAAGAAGTAAAGAAAAGGGCCGGAAGTAAGGGCGAGGACTGGTAGAAATCAAGAACCAATTGGTACGGCACGGCATATAGATAGAAACAGAAAAAGAGTCTGAGTGATTAGATCTCGAGTGAAGGTATCGACAATAAAATTAAGAAAGGGGTAGCACACATATAGTGGCTATTCTACACAAATACACCAGCTCCCGCGTGGACTACAGCCCAAAAATTACAAGCCAAAACGCCACAAAATCGGAAAAAAAAATTGTTCAGCAGCAATGTTAATTGGAAGTGAATAACTAAACCACAATGCCGAAAATAGTGCCACATTGTCCAAAAGTGTGCCCTTACACGATTGCCCTGAATCGCTATACAGTGTTCACTGTAACTACACCTGTGCCAGGACCGGCACCGAAAGCGCCTAAGCCCAGGACGCCATCTGCGCCATAGAGGGAGCATCAGCATGCAACAATCTGGCTACGCCCAGCTGATGCTAAAGATGGTCCTATACAATGTCAAAATTTTTTTCTACATTTAAAATAATATGATGAAACAAAATTAATGAATAAGAAATATTTGTAAGTTTGAGCGGAACACTTTTTGCCCGATTAGAAGTAGTAGAAACCATAATAACTAATATAATTATTAGATATTTAGATAAAAACTTTTTAATGAAAAGCAATAGTATAAGTAAGACAGATACAAAATGTTTGTATGCATCCAACAAAATGAATTTAATATAATACCCAAGATGGGTTTTGTAGATACAAACAGTAAAAAAAGTATTTATAATAATTCTCATTATACATACTCGTACATACATACATTGCTAATTTATTTTTAAAATTATTCATATGACACGACAAGTGCTTGAAGAAAAGGATAGAAAGTCAAATGACCTGGCTAATGTTTAAAACCATGATGAGCACATGATTACGAGTTTTTTTTAAAGTAATAAAAAGTGTAATCCGTTAATGAAATAAAACCTTATTTAATTATATGTATATACTATAGCGTTTCCTCTTGTTTTTTTAATTGTTTATATATATAATATATATATTTATATATATTAATGATAAAGACAAAAAAAAATAAATATAAATAAATAAATATATAATGATAAAGACAATAAAAAAACAAGAGGAAACGCTGTAGTAGAGTGCCGCGACTATAAGATACCCGTTACTATTTTACACAATTTTAAAATATACATTTTGCTAGTGGAAATTCACAAGGCGCCACCTATTGTCAGATGAAGCATGTTGAGTAATTGATAGTGACGTCACCAGCCTTGTGAGGCCTTATAACCTAAATTTCTTCATAAATAGCGAAATATTGTTCTGATTTTAAAAATCTTTGGTAAATCGATAGATATAAACAGAAATAAATTATACAAGGTCAAACGAAGGCATAACAATATTATACACGCCAAAGTTTTCCGCGGCTTGTAGGCGTTTGAGTGTGCGTGGCCGGATGCAACTTCGTGGCAAGTAGCAGTGTCATCTCTTAAATACGTATTCTTAAGCACAACTTTGTAGCTCTTATAGTTTCCGAGACTTTTGCATTTTTGGTTTTTCGGGTTTTGCGTGGCTTGATCGGAAAAAAACAACTCGCATTGGGAGCATTCATTGAAACCTACATGCTTAAAATGCGAAAACAGTCTTTTGAACTTGGTGGGCGTATGGGTGAGTGTGGTCGGATAATAGTACTACTATAAGATGCGATGGCATCTAAAGATTATACATACTGAATTTCAACTTTCTAGCTCTAATAGTTCCTGAGATTTCAGCGATCAACGAGCGTGGCAGGATGCTGTAATAACCTTGCGCTGCGTAGAGACCTCAAGAATCTTCATGGTTAATCTCAAGTTTGTATCTTTTATAGTTCCTGAGATCTCAGCGTTCATACGGACAGACGGATATGGCTCAAACGACTTCGCTATTAATCCTGATCAAGAATATATATACTTTATTGGGTCAAAAAAGCTTCTTACTATCTGTTACATACTTTGCAACGAATCTAGTATACCCTTTTCCTCTACGGGTAACGGGTATACAAATTTCAGATATACATAAACATTACTACCATGACCATACTAAAGGTAATTAAGAAAGTATATAATAGGGAACATATTTTAATGAAAAGATTCTTACATTGGTCTCAACGACCCCGAGGCGCATATTAGGAGTTAATAACCAAAAAAAGTGGTTTTGAGAAATATTAAAAGTCGCTAACAAAAAATCGACAAATAAGCAATCTACTATAAATAAACATGTTGAAATATTAGTAGCCCACTTTAACACAGCGCTATACACGTATACTAATGCATAGCCAGACGGACCGGATAGCTATAACTCTCGAGTATCTATGTTATTGAAGAAACTAAGATAAATATCTATTCAGTATCAACTATCTTGTATAGCCCATTGACAGTACAAAATTGAACCGATTGGCAATCATAAGATTCACCAGAATTCGATACAGCAGAGGTATAACACTCTGATTCTGATAGTCCAAAAATAGAAGAGAAAGATTTAAATAATATTACAATTCTTGGTGTACTTTTCCAATCTAATCAATCAAATTCAGGAACAAACCGATTCTGACACCGAAATAAAGGAAAACCCCTTTATAAGAATGGCAGACGAAAGTGATGCCCAAAGAGCATACATTAATGACAACGAATCTAGTATAACTTTTTACTCTACGAGTATCTGGTAACAACAGAGGCATTTATTGCGGTATAGGCAATGGTCGCGATTATTCTAATAATAATAATAATTTTAAACGCAACAAGCAAGTTATAGAGAAAACTATACAGGAAATAATCACCACAGTGGGGGTTATAATTCATATAATAACAATAAAAATAATAATCGTTTCGGGAAACTCCCAACAACCTTTAGGTACTTCCAATAGGAAACAATAAAATTCACACTCTCAACCAACCGTCAATTAGAGCCTTTATAGATTAATTATTAGAGACTTTATAGATGGGCTTTTGAGCAGAGGTTCCTAGGCAGCTAGATCTGAGGTTTGTATTAGATCCGTCTGTTTTAGTAGTATCAAGAACTCCCCCTCTTCTTACCAAAGAACTGGCAATATCCCTGCTTCGTCTAGATTTTGACTCTCCCCTAATATCTAAATCAAGGTGCTTTCGTAAATGTAACTTTAATTAATGAAATCAGTTATTTCATATATGACTGGACAAATCTAAACAACTGCCTGGACGTAGAAAAAGTTGCTAATCATTTTCTAGTGCCAAGAACTCCTTCTTTAATCAGTGCGTTTCTTGCAGTTCCGCCAAGCGGAAAACCTCTGGGTTGCTTGTATCAGTACGCTTTAATTCATATAAAGCATCTACGGACTCTGATATTGCTAATTTCTTTTCTTAGCTATCCTTACCATTTAAATAGTTCAAATTACATTTTCTCCCTGTTAATTACGGAAAGTTCCGGGCCGGATGGGCTTTTCGGGATTGTTCTTAAGTGTTGTGCGTCATCTATTTATAAACCAATAATTAAAATTTACCAATTTTACTTGAATTGACTTCTGGCGTAGTTGATGTACTTAGCAATAAAATGCAGACCGATGTAATTTATACTGATTTCAGCAAGACTTATGGCTCCGTTAATCACTCCTTTCTTCATTTAAAGTTAGATCAGCTTGAGCTCTTGGATTTCTTGTTATTTGAGTGGAAGCAGGTTTTTTTTAAACTTTAATTTCCAACACCATCGACAGCAACCATTGGTTGCCACAGGGTAGCCATTTGGGTCCTTTGCTTTTTACGTTATTTATAAACTAGCGCGCCCGCCTTGCTTCGCTTGACACGCTCGCCTTTTAATGAGAATGGCGAGCGTCGCGCTGCGCGTCCGCTTCTCAAGCTTTACATAGTCTTCTAAGGGTTATGTACCATGCGCAGCCATACTAAAATAAATAAAATCATTTTCGTTTAGGTTTATATTCAACATTTATAGAAGTGCATTGGGATATACAATGTTTTTTCATCAGGTGCGAAAACGAATAAATCAGAAAATTTTCCGACGCGCGAGCAGGCCACATAGAGCTGCCCATGTGAGAAGCTTGGATTCTCTAAATTTAGTCCACACACTTGCAATGATTGTCCTTGTGGTTTGTTGGTGGTCATTGCGAAGGAAATACGCACCTGGAACTGGAAACGTTTGAATTCGAATGGCATATCCGTCGGAATCATTGGGATAAGTAGCAAAAGTACGCCTTCACCTTTATATTTACCAGTCAAAGTTGTTGTTTCGATAACATTGTTCATCAGTTTCTTGACTAAGAGCCTGGGTTCATTGCAAAGTCGAGTTGGATTAAAATTTCGAAGGAGAAGGATGGTACGCCAATTTTCAATGTAAGAACGTGCAGCGGCAAGCCAGGCAAACCGAGAATTTAGTTGAATATTTGACAACTTCGTCCCGATTCATTACAAAATCGGTGGAATTATATGTTCTCATTTCACCGGAATAGTGATGTTGATGGTGTTAGCATCAACGTTTTTAGCCGCCCATATAGCACGCGTACTTAGCCACTAATGATTTTTGTAGTTCGTATAAGCTTTCTGTGATCTTACAAAACTTTGTTGGCAAGGTGATAGATTGCGAAGATCATCAATTTGCATTCGCCCATTTCCAATATCCATAAGTTGTTTTGCAAATATTTCAGCCGATGCATCAAGCTGTAGTTGTAAACCCATGTTGGTTTCCAAAGTGAATTTGCAAGTGACGCCATAAAATGGATAATTTCAGGCATGCATTAAGTGGGTCAGAAGGTGTTGAACTTGGTATAAACGCCAGTGTTTGTCGAAAAATGTGTGCTCCACCAAAAAATCGGTAAGTTTATTTTACGATCAAGCGCTTCCAATGCTTTCTTGTGGGACATTATGCATTAGTATAATATAATAATATAATTAATAACACAATAATTTCACATTTATTGATGTTGCATATTGGAGCCTCAGTGTTTTGTAAATTTGTTCGTCCACCATCCAAAAGAGTTGCCGTAATTCCAGAGGAAGCAATGGCCAGTGCAATATTATTTCATGATCGTATGGTTGCCAAAAGTTTTTGCTTATATTTTTGTCAATATCTATCTATTTACCAAAGATTTTTCAAAGAGGTCATTTGCTGGTCGGTTTGGAGCAGGTATTCCCAGTTGCACCAGTGTCTTGTTAGCGATTGCCAAACATATGTCATCAACTAAAATCAATGCCTCGTTATACACGTTTGGTGTGAATAGATAACATAAATTTACCTATTCTCATAAATTCTTACGTAAACCACATAAAAATAAAACCTTAAAATAAACCAAATTTGAAATTTAACTGTTTAATAAGGAGGTGCCAGCTTAATTTCCAGACCGTTGCCATATACTCCCCTAGCTGACAACTATAAAAATGTAGTGCTGCCATTACCTAATTGTACAGAGCTACCAACTTTAATCTAATAGTAAGGCTTGCATATTAATTTTCCAAATTTTCAGAAATTTTCCTCGTTTATGTATATATATATATATATATATATATATATATATATATATATATATATATATATATATATATATATATTATATATTATATATTATATATTATATATTATATATTATATATTATATATTATATACTATACGAGGTGTGTTCAAAAAGTAAGGTGACTTTTCAAATTTCGCGGGCAACATATTTTCGATTATCGTTTTTTTGTTTTGTTATATTGGTACACTCTTCCCTAACATCTGTACCAAGTTTCAATGGAACATCCTCTTTTTGTTTGGTTGTGAGAGGCGTAAAGTTACAAGTTATTTTGCGAGCTCGGCGATTTTTTGCTATCGAAAAATATGGATCAAAGGATTTGCATCAAATTTTGTGTAAAAAATAAAATTAAGTGCTCTGAAACACTTGAAATGTTGACAGTGGCATACGGTGAAACTGTTCTGAGTAAAAAAATGTGTACAAGTGGTACAAACTCTTCCAAGATGGCCGGGAAGATGCCAATGACCAGCCTCGCTCTGGACGCCCAAGCACGTCAACAACTGATGAAAACGTTCAAGCAGTGACGAAAATTGTTTTGGAAAATCGTCGAATCACTATCAGAGAAGTTGCTGAAGATGTCGGTATATCGCTTGGCTCGTGCCATGAAATTTTTCAAACGTTTTGGGTATGAGTCGTGTGTCAGCGAAGTTTGTTCCGAAATTGCTGAATTTTGGCCAAAAGAACCGTCGCATGAGCATCGCTCAAGAGCTGTTGAATGACGTCAACGACGACCCAGATTTACTCAAAAGGGTCATAACTGGTGACGAATCATGGGTATATGGTTATGATATCGAAGCCAAAGCCCAATCGTCCCAATGGAAGAGCCCAGACGAGCCAAGACCGAAAAAAGCAAAAAATCGCCGAGCTCGCAAAATAACTTGTAACTTTACGCCTCTCACAACCAAACAAAGAGGATGTTCCATTGAAACTTGGTACAGATGTTAGGGAAGAGTGTACCAATATAACAAAACAAAAAAAACGATAATCGAAAATATGTTGCCCGAAATTTGAAAAGTCACCTTACTTTTTGAACACACCTCGTATATTATATATTATATATTATATATTATATATTATATATTATATATTATATATTATATATTATATATTATATATTATATATTATATATTATATATTATATATTATATATTATATATTATATATTATATATTATATATTATATATTATATATTATATATTATATATTATATATTATATATTATATATTATATATTATATATTATATATTATATATTATATATTATATTATATATTATATATTATATATTATATATTATATATTATATATTATATATTATATATTATATTATATATTATATATTATATATTATATATTATATATTATATATTATATATTATATATTATATATTATATATTATATATTATATATTATATATTATATATTTGTCGGGGGCAGGGGTATGTCGGTCGGCGGCAAGGGCATGTTATTCATGCTGACACTGTTATAGATTCTTGCAGTTACACAGTGAGTTCCGATCGGTTCGAATACCCAAGTTCAACTAACTCAGCATAAGCGCTCACGACATAAACTCACTCAAGTTGAGCGTATGCAGCCATCTCTGTCTTACTCAAGACTCTTGGTATCTTACCATCGGACCTCACTCAGCAGCAGAGCGTCTCTGCCCCTGCTGCCGTGCATTTGCTCAACATCAACGAGTGAAGCAGAAGCAGGGAATTCCCCGAATTCCCAAATTCCCCGAATTCCCAAATTACCAGAATGCTACATTAACTGGGAATCGCACTACGACACGGCCTTCCTGACCTATCACACGTCCTCGTGTGTTTAGTTTTCAATATAAAAATCACTTATATAAATATCAAATCTTCTGTATTCATTACACTTCTTTAAACATAATCTTATTAATTAATTTAGTTATTCCTTTATAACATTATTCTCTTTTGTAAAATAAAACATTCGTGCATTTCCTTTGACACATTTTAACAATTATGTAATTCCTGTAACACATCTTACAATATAACATTAGTGTAGTTCCTTTAACACATTACAATAATCTTTAGTGTAGTTCCTTTAACACTTTCTAACATTTGTGTAGTTCCTTTAACACATTACAATAATCTTTAGTGTAGTTCCTTTAACACTTTCTAACATTTGTGTAGTTCCTTTAACACATTACAATAATCTTTAGTGTAGTTCCTTTAACACTTTCTAACATTTGTGTAGTTCCTTTAACACATTACAATAATCTTTAGTGTAGTTCCTTTAACACTTTCTTTTTTTTTTTTTTTTTTTATGATTCTCTTTCTTGATTGTCAGACGCATCTTCCATCGTGCCGTCCCTATCTTCGCGTATTAGATCATTATTCGGCAAAGCTCTTAAGAATTCATGGGAGTATTTGTAAGTTCGCTTACTTGTTAAGGACTTTAACAGATATCTATCTCCATCTAGTATTTTGACAATCTCAAACGGCCCTTTAAATTTAGGGTCAAGCTTAGTTTGATGACGCTCCTCATTCTTAATCAATACGTGATCGCCTAAACTATGTTTAATAATTTTCGCCTTATTACTATCAAACCTGCGCTTATCAATATCGTGCGCCGTCTTCCATATTTTGTTTGGCTTGTTTTCTTAGATTTTCTTTGTCTATTTTGTCATCAACTTTTTCATCTATTGGTAGTAAGCCAAAAGGTCTAGCTTCCTTACCAATTAACAATTCTAATGGGCTAAACTTAGTTACTCTATTCGCCGTACAATTCATTGCCAATTGCACCTCGGCCAACGCATCCTGCCACGATCTATGACCGGTTTCCACAGCCGTCAACATACTTTTGAGTGTACTCATTACTCGCTCGACCTGACCATTGGCCCTACTCGCAACGGTGGCAATTAAATGCAAATTAGTTTTTTGAGAGGAACAAAATTCACGAAAATCTGAACTTGCAAAACAACGACCTTGATCCGCTATAATTCGGGTAGGCAAGCCAAATAAGGAAACAACTGATCTTACGGCCTTAATACAACTTTCCGTATCTATTTTCAAAGTGTGGTAAAAGTAAACAAATTTTGTAAATGCGTCTATTAAGACAATAACGTATTCTTTTAAGTCATTTTTACCACTCAATTTTCCTGTTATGTCAATATGTACCGTGTGCCACGGTATATCTATTTTGGGAATAGAATGTAACTCTGCCTGCACTTTACCTACGGGTGGCTTCGATAGTTTGCAAGTGATACAGTTCTCTACGAACCGACGAACATATTTTGACATATTTTCAAACCAATAATAGCTATAAACCTTATCTAATGTCTTTTCCCATCCCAAATGCATTATTGATTCGTGGACATGATTGATAATTGCCCATCTAAATGACCTTGGAATTACCGGTAGACATTTAGTTTTGCCATTTCGCTGTATTTTCCTATGCAAAATACATTTTCGTAATTCATAGGTTTTATCTAAATTATCTGGTAATTCATTATTTCTTAATTTAGTTGATATATCTAAAATCTCACTATCTCGCTGTTGCTCCGAAATCAATAAACCTATCCGAGTGACATCTCAACATATTGTTTAATATCGTCTTATCAGAATCAATTAAATTAGTATCAGAATTTATGATTTCTTCATACTTCACTAGACTCAGAACATTTACTCTTTTTATATTATAAAAGCAAAATTTATCTGCATCAATTGATACACCAAAGCCCAGGCTTAAAACATCACGGCCAATCAACACGTCATGCTTCAAATACTTGTCCATAACTACATGTAATACAACTTCTAAACAATATTGTTCAATATTAATATTACTCAGAACCATTTAAAGCTACAATATTGTGAAATCGTTTTCCGGTGAATTTATCTGCAACATTCTCCTTGACCAGTGAACATTCGGCTACAGAATCAAAACAATATGGAATAGACTCACCGGATAACGTAATTGTTCCACTTGGTGGAGCCAGTGTACAAACGTCAACTCGCTTCTCGTAGCTCTTGCTGATTGCATCAGTACGATTTTTGGGGCATACAGAAGCCACATGTCCGTTTTCACCGCACTTAAAACATTTAATTTTTGATCGATCCTTCACTCCGGTCGCGTTGCTCACGCTATAACTCCTTTCTGTTGGGGCTGATGCTTTCTCCATTCGAGAGCGGCATTCTGCATATTTGTGGCCAACCTTTCCACAAAAATGGCACTTCACCTGCGACTGCATTCTTGTTTTCTTCTTATCCGGACCCGTCGAATATCCGACCTCCTCGTTGTTACGCTTCTTGAAAGCGTAAGCCTGTAGCTGCTGCTGCGGCTCATTACGAGTCGTCACATTCGTTGTAAACAGCCAATGCCACTAATTATTATCAATTTGAGCCATGTGAGCTAACGGTACTGGTACCGCAATCTTCTGCAAATTCTTGGTTTTCCATTTTGACATAAGTAGCGTCACAATACGGCTGCCGTATTCGGCGAAGCCCTCCTTCGGCTTTCGATCATTCAGAACATTTAATAGCATGGCGGCAGAAGTCTCAATTCCAACAAAGCGTTGTATAAACAGCTCCTTGAACTGCGCCCAAGTGATGCCGGCAAAGCAAATTTGGGAAAGCCACTGAGATGCGCAGCCTTCTAGTGCCTTGCTTAGGGCGATCACCAGGTTGCTACCCTCGAGCACGTTATCCGCCAAAATTAGATCAACTGTTGAACACCAAGAGGAAGCATCCGCTCCAGCGATGTCAGGATAGAATTTTGGAAGAGTCACATATGATGCTTTTCCATCGGCTGGCGGTGCCCTTGGTGTCTGCATGTTTTTGATGATTTCCAGTAGGTTGCGGTTTTGTAGCTCCAACGCTGACAAATACGGATCGGTGGCATGAGCAGTAGGCAAAGCAGATCCCACTTCTGATGTCGGGGGCAGGGGTATGTCGGTCGGCGGCAAGGGCATGTTATTCATGCTGACACTGTTATAGATTCTTGCAGTTACACAGTGAGTTCCGATCGGTTCGAATACCCAAGTTCAACTAACTCAGCATAAGCGCTCACGACATAAACTCACTCAAGTTGAGCGTATGCAGCCATCTCTGTCTTACTCAAGACTCTTGGTATCTTACCATCGGACCTCACTCAGCAGCAGAGCGTCTCTGCCCCTGCTGCCGTGCATTTGCTCAACATCAACGAGTGAAGCAGAAGCAGGGAATTCCCCGAATTCCCAAATTACAAGAATGCTACATTAGCTGGGAATCGCACTACGACATATTATATATTATATATTATATATTATATATTATATATTATATATTATATATTATATATTATATATTATATATTATATATTATATATTATATATTATATATTATATATTATATATTATATATTATATATTATATATTATATATTATATATTATATATTATATATTATATATTATATATTATATATTATATATTATATATTATATATTATATATTATATATTATATACTATATCCAAACACACCCGGAGCCCCCATCAACATGTACAAAAACCACTTTAATATGCTCTGCCTATCTTAACATTTTAGCTAGAACTATTAATTTATGAGATATAAGCGATTTTACTTTTCCGTGATTTGTGGGTGTGGCAGGATGCTGAAACAAACTTGCGCTGCGTAGGCATCTCAAATATCTGTATGCTTATTCCAAACAGTGTATCTCTTATAGCTCTTGAGATCTCAGCGTTCATGCACAGTCGGACATTGTTTAATTGACTTGGCTATCGACCTTAAACAAGAATATATGTTACATACTTTTCAACGAATACAATATATCCTTATAGATAATAATTAATTAACTTTCATTTCTAAAACAATATATTCTATTAAGAATTTGCCACAAATAAAAAGGAATTGTTACCTATGGTATGGGCGAAATTAAACCTCAGCAAATAAGATGAAAATTTACTAGTTGATATTTTCAACTTCTAGAGTCTAACATTTTAAACAGGCATTGGTGCACATTGAAAATATTAAATTGTCAAAGAAATAAACAAATCAAAGACAACAAACTTGCTTGACCAATAAGGCCTAGCAATGGGACGCCTCCTGTCTTTTCTAGCAAATCGATACCAAATAATGCGTTAAATGAAGATAAGTCAGATAAAATAAGAAATGTAGCCTTCGAATTAAATATTGAAACGAAGCTTTTCTTCGTGATTGGGTTCACGCCATGATCGGACGCTTTTCAACCTGGAGTGGTGTTCTGAAGAGACTTTACATCAGACTACAGATTTTTGAGGACAAATTATATTTAGGCATTTTAGCCTGGACAATAGGTGGTGTGCATACCTCGCCAAAAACTGTTAACCTATTCATGCGGTCTAAAAATAAGTGTTTTGCACTCAGACTTAGAGCAAAAAGTCTGCTTGTATACAAATTTTGCTCGCGCTCAGCCGAAGAACAGCTTTTTCTCTTCTCTTTTGGTCTGCACACTCTCGGACCGTTTGCTTAAAAAGCTTAAAACGCTGAGGTCTTAGGAACTATAAGAGATAAAAAAGTCACCCCTGCTCTAACGCCCTCAAAACACGGAAAATCAAAAATGCGAACATGCGTGAACTATAAGAGCTTAAAAGTTGAGATTAAATATAATCTTGAGATGCCATCGCATCCTTTGTTGGTATCGTTATCTGGACTTACACACTCTTACACCCACCAAGCTTGAAAGACAGTTTTTGCTTATGTTTTTGTCAATATCTATCTATTTACCAAAGATTTTTTAAATCTCAAACCTATTTCACCATTTATGAAGATGTAGATGAAGCCTACATATGGCTATAAGGCCTCACATGAACATTGACGTCACCCCCATGTAGTAAACATGATTTTTTGACAAAAGGTGGCGCTTTGTCCATTTGTTTTGTAATTAAAATAATCAAAATATTAGTTTGAAATATGAAAAATGTATGCTTAAAATTTCATGAAGTTTTTTTGTGAAAGTTGAATGTAAATTAGTACACAACGTACCACTGTGCAGCATAACGAAGACAATTATTGAAAATACTTTTTCCGGTTTCTTTTTCAGTCAATCGATCTTTTAATGAGTCTTTCTGCGCGAGCGTCACTCGTATTTCTCATTGTGCGATGTTCGGTAAACCGCCGTTTCACGATCAGCTCATCGTATGTCACTCACTGGTGCTCTTTATCGGTTGTTCTCGGGAGCAGAGCGTAAGGAAAAAAATGGTTAACAGTTATCAGCGAGCTAAGGTAGTGTGCTTTGCTTAGGCTACCCGCAAGTATGAGTCAAGCAAGATTAGCGGGTCGTTATAAAATGGAGGAATTTATATCGGGGCACCGATTCGAATTGAATTTAAAAGGGATTAAATTGTTACGGGTTGTTATAGTCTCCGCCCTCAAAATAGCGTTTCTTCTTATTTTTCTGTCAATTTTGCTTATCCAAACAGTTACGGTTTACCTCATGTTCTTAAGGTCAGGCCAGCCTGATCATTTGATGAGCAGTAAGGTAAATAAAGTGGGCGCAGGACTGTTTCAGCATAAGGAAACCGCAATCTGGCGTCCATAAAAAGCAAATGCAGATTATGGAACTGCCTGAGGTTTGGTTATCGGAGTCACGTGAGTTATTAAACGTAGTAAATTCTACACAGCATGAATTATTTTATTCTTTACGCTCAAATAACGGACTAATGGGTATCCGATAGTCGCCGCACTTAATTATAGCTTTTATGGTCGTGCACTGGAATCTCATGAATCTCTATGCTTAAACCTAACTTTGTAGGTTACATACTTTTCACTTTAACTCTTCGAGTAATTCAAAAGCACGATACCCATCTTTAGATAAGACAACTACACAGATTAAGCTGGTTTTGAAAAGTACTCACAGTTAAAGCAATGACACTTTTAATACCCCAAAATTACTGTGCATGTTTATATTAGGTGCTATAGCACTGAGATTTTTATACCCGTTACTCGTAGAGTAAAAGGGTATAATAGATTCGTTGAATAGTACCGTTGTACTACATCCAGCCACAACCACTCATACGCCCACCAAGCTCGAATGATGGTTTTCGCACTTTGTAGAAAAGCTGATATCTCGGTTACTATAATTGATAGAAAGTTCGGACTAAACATGTAGGTTTTTATGCTGTCCTGAATGTAAGTTGATTTTTCCCATCTAGCCACGTCTACCCTAACGCCAATAAAATCCGGAAAACCAAAAACGCTAGTTTTCATCTGACCACGCCCATTCCAAAGCCCACAAACCGCGGAAAACTGTGGCGTCTATAATATCATAGTGTATGTCCTCGATTGACCAAGATTTTTCAAATCGGAACAGTTTTTTTATTTATAGAGAAATTTAGGTTCTAAGGCCTCGCATGGCTTGTGACGTCGCTATCAGTTACTCAACATGCTTTCTCTGACAAGAGATGGCGCTTTGTGAATTTCTACTAGCAAAATTAATATTTTAAAATTGTGTAATACAGTATCTTAAAGTCGCGGCACTCGACTATAGCGTTTCTTCTTGTTCTTTCTGCCTTCTTATTGTTTCACACGAATTCAATATAATTTTTTGTTGTGTTTTTTCTCAAATCAAAAATGACTGTGCTTTGAAGCTATTAGATATACGTAGATATAATACAAAAATACTTGCTTGTTCTGAGACATACCCAAATGTTTGTTTGACTTTGAAACTAGACGATTAGAATATATAATATTTTGAAGATTAAATATTTTACCTGTCATAACTTGCATAAATTCTGTAAAATACAATTTTATTATTTTGTATTTAAGAAATTAATAAGGCATTTTTACCGTCGAAGTCAACCGTACCGGACCCATCAGCATCGATTTCTTCTATAATCATATCTAAGTCTTGGTTTGACAGTTTATCATCTAATTCATGAAGAATTCCTCTCAATGTGGCAACTGTTAGATATCCTTTTCCTTCTTTATCATATACACGAAAGGCCTCTTTAAGCTCATTTTGAAGGGCTCCTACATCTTCCTCAACTTCAATAAAGCGGGCGGCCAGTTTGCAGAACTGGCTGAAATCTAATTTACCTGTTGTGCTTTTATCTACCTCTTTAATAAGTGCCTTAACCGCCGGCGGCTCCAATTTTTGACCTAATATTTCAAGTATGCTTGATACATCTGCGTGATCGATCCATCCAACTCCGTCATGGTCGAAGGCTTTAAAAGCATTCCTTAGAACTAATGCAACAATTTTTAATGGTTGTTAATATAATTTAATTGTAAACTTACTTCTTAATTGTTCCTTGTCATATTCTCCTTCAGCCTGCAAAGGTATAATTATTAACGAGATAAGACGATAAAGTCAGCACGTTGCTGTGAAACTGAAATTAAAATACCTATTTTGCTAGCAGCTAATGACGTCTAAAACTTTTTTACTTTAATTGAATATTTTCGTAAATGAGTCTTATGTATGCCTGTCCGTATAAGGGCTTAGACCTCGAGAGATGTACATAAGACGAAAAAAATTGGGATGCAGATTTCAACGAAGTCATCGTTTTTCATTCATTAATATTTTTAACATCCGGGAGGATGTCGAAAACGATGGCCTCTTCCATATTAGAATATATGTTTTGTTTTGATCACATGGGATGTAATGTCCCTAGTCAGTTATTCAAAAAAGTTGCAAATGTTTTAATCCCAAGAAAACGCTAGTTCAATTCAATCTTCAATGATTATTAGAGTAATGCGTATCCGATAGTTCAGCCCTTAACTAATAATAATAGGAGGTGCTGAACTAAGAGGTGCTTGATGTACGAAGGTCCGAAATTAAAATAAATATATAATAATAATAATAAATAGGATTAATCGACAATTATAGCCATATCCCTATACGTTGTAGCAATGGCATTGCTATGACAATTCTGTCAAATAGAGAGCTAACATAAATTAAAATAATGAAAGAAAATGTTGTCATGAAATGGAAGCCTAATGCTTCTATTTCGTTTACAATCGGCCAAGGTGCCATTTACCAATAATATTTATAGCTTATGAACAGTACTCCGAATTGGTCTAAAACCTTGCATTGTTTTTTATAAAATTTAAAGGAAAAATGAAGTTGTTCTTTAAAAAATTAACTTAAATAGACAAGACACAAACTCGAAATTACGCAATAAGTAAACATACAAATACATTTCGATATTGTAAAACCTATTGTACAGTTTCAGACACTCTTTATAATTTGTTTTGCCATTCATTGCACACATGAAGATATAAAGATATTTTCAGCTTTATTATACCCGTTACTCGTAGAGTAAAAGGGTATACTAGATTCGTTGAAAAGTATGTAACAGATAGAAGGAAGCTTTTGCGACCCTATAAAGTATATATATTCTTGATCAGGATCAATAGCGAAGTCGATTGAGCCATGTCCGTCTGTCCGTCCGTCCGTCCGTCCGTCCGTCCGTATGAACGCTGAGATCTCAGGAACTATAGCAGATACAAAGCTGAGATTAAGCATGAAGATTCTTGAGGTCCCGGGACAGCGCAAGTTTATTACAGCATCCTGCCACGCCCACTCTAACGCCCACAAATCGCAAAAAAACTAAAATTGCTGAAATCTCAGGAACTATTGTAGATAGAAAGATGAAATTCAGAAAGTACAATCTTTAGATGACAGCGCATTTTATAGTGCTACTACTATCCGGCCACACCCACCCATACGCCCACAAGGCTCAAAAGACGGTTTTCGGATTTTCTAGAAAAGCTGATATAGCGGTAACTATAAGAGATAGAAAGTTCGGATCAAGCATGTATGTTTCTATGATGCTCTTAATGCGAATTGTTTTTTTCCGATCACGCCACGCCCACTCTAACGCCCACAAAACCCGAAAAACCAAAAATGCAAAAATCTCGAAAAATATAAAAGCTACACAATTTTTCTTAGGAAAACGTATTTAGGAGATGCCTCTGCAACTTGCCACGAAGTTGCATCCGGCCACGCCTACTATAACGCCCACAAACCGCGGAAAACTGTGGCGTCTATAATATTATTATGAATGCCTTCGTTTGACCTTGTGTAACTTATTTTTGTTAATATCTATCGATTTACAAAAGATTTTTCAAATCGGAACATTATTTCGCTATTTATAAAGAAATTAAGGTTATAAGGCTCCACATGGGCAGTGACGTCACTATAAGCACACTCAACATACTTCCTCTGACAATAGGTGGCGCCTTGTGAATTTCCACTAGCAAAATTAATATTTTAAAATTGTGTAAAACAGTAACGGGTATCTTATAGTCGCGGCACTCGACTATAACGTTTCCTCTTGTTTTTCTTATCTTTTAATGTGATGTAGATTTATAGATGCCGGTTTATATATGTATGTAGATATGTTATTTAAAATTTTTGTAATATTTAAAAAAATGCACTTTAGTAAAATTAAGAATGCAAGTAAATTAATACATCAAAAAATGATAGTCCTAAAAACTTTTGTTCGCAGTTTAAAGATATATTAAAATTATAATCATTTTACTTACCATTTTAAATAACTTGTTTATATCCTAGATTTTCTTTATAAAAACCTGCAGTAAATTATAAAAAATGTTAATATTAAGACTATTATTGATTTAGGATGCAGGACGAAAGAAATTAAGTATCGTACGGTAAGTTCAATTATCTTCAAGCTTCTAAGCAATTTGAAATATATTCTACTAAAACAACACTAACAATAAAAATTAAAACAACTACAAATATGTTGAAACTACTTCGAAACGAATTATCTTCCTAATCGATGAATATAAAATAAAATCAGTGAACACAAGGAATGTGAGGGTGGACCTCACCTTTTGTAGGTTACAAAAGAATTAAGGAATAAAAAAAACAGAAAAACAATAAATAATAATTTAAATAAATATAGATAAACATTTTTTTTTGTTTTAATGTAAATAAAATTATATTCTTCGTTTTGTCAGTTTTTACAAAATAATAAATAATATCTATTGTTGTAAAACGAAATAGCACACAAGTTTAAAATGGGCAAATTAAGAAAAAATTCCAGTAAAGGTAGAAGAAAACACTTCCATCATTACTGTTTCACATTATTTCACAGGTCTTAAATGAACTGGGTAACACAATTTTACAAAAAATTCATTTTGCTAGTGGAAATGTCCTTATAACCTAAATTTTTTCATAAATAGCGAAATAATGTTCCGATTTGCAAAATCTTTGGTAAATCAATAGATCTTGACAAAAATATGTTATACAAGGTCAAACAAAGACATACACTATTATATTATGGACGCCACAGTTATCCGCAGTTTATGGGAGTTATAGTGCGAGTGGCCGGTTGAAGCTCACATCAAGTTGCAGTGGGATCTCCGAAATATGTATTTCTAAGCCGAACTTTCTTGCTCTTATAGTTACCGAGATTTTAGCGTTTTCGGCTTTCCGTGGTTGATGGGCGTTAGATAGGGCGTAGCTGGATAACGGCACCACCACGAGATGCGCTGGAATCTCAAGATTATACATACCTAATGCCAACTTTCTAGATCTTATGGTTTCTGAGATTTCAGCAATTTTCGTTTCTCGTGATTTGTGGGCGGTATAGTGGGGGTGGCAGGATGCAGAAATAAACTTGCGATTCGTATAACTATTCAGTACCAACTATCTTGAAAAGCCCATTAACAGTACAAAACTGAACCGATCCACAATCATAAGATTCACCAGAAGTCGATACAGCAGAGGTAGAAATCTGATTCTGATAGTCCAAAAATAGAAGAGAAAGTAATCTTACAGTTTCTCTACTTTTCCAATCTAATTAATCCAGATCAAGAACAAACAGATTCTGACCCCGAAAAGAGGAAAACCTTAATGAGAATGGGAGACGAAACTGATGCCCAAAGAGCATACATTCGGGACATAGCAAATTGTCTCTCCAACGAATCTTGTATAACCTTTTACTCTACGAATAACTAGTATAAAAAGGCCCAGACCAGCTTGGTAATTAAAACATCAGAGGCATTTATTATAATAAATATATTATTTATTATAATATATTATATTATTATAATAAATAATAATAATAATTTTAATCGCAACAACGGCCAGAATTATAAGTACGATAATAATTACAGAGGGAAAGATAGAGGAAACAATAGAGGAAGTTATTGAGAAAATTATAGAGGAAATCACCAAAATGGAGGTTATAACTCATATAATAAGAATAACAATAATAACAACAACAATGTTAGATAATAACAACAACAATGTTAGAGTAGCCCAAATCGTTTCGGGAAACTGCCAACAACCTTTAGGTACTTCCAATAGGAAACAATAAAATTCAATTCAATTCAAGTCAATTAGAGCCTTTATAGATTAGTTATTAGAGACTTTATAGATGGGCTTTTGACCATAAAATTTTAGGCAGCTAGATCTGAGTTTTGTATTAGATCTGTCTGTTATAGAAGTATCAAGAACTGCACCTCTTCTTACCAAAGAAGATCGACAAACAAAAGTTGCTAATCATTTTCTAGTGCCAAGAACTCCTTCTTTAATCAGTGCGTTTGCCTGTAGGGCAAAGTGGACTTTCATGGTTTACTTCAAGGAACTAGAAACCTATAGTTTAACACTTGTAAAAAATACAAAAGGATACTCGGAATTTAGTGCTTTTAAGTGTTGTTGTTATCTTAAATCGATGTAGAACTGAATTTTCAACTGATCTGAAGCAGTTTTATAACTTTGTTAACGCCAAGCGGAAAACCTCTGCATAGCTTATATCGGTATTCATTTAAATCATCTACGGAATCTGATATTGCTATTTATTCCCGTTACTCGTAGAGTAAAAGGGTAACAGGAAACACGAATCTTTTTCAACAAGGCCCGGACCCGGCCCGGCGTGGCACGAAACTTATCTACACATATAAGGAAGGAAATTTAAAAGACGTGCAATAAGTTATGGCCGGAGGGGGAGGAAATTTTCCCGAATATTACCTAGTTAGGGTTACCTGCAACGTTGTATCTCTGGTTTTCGATGCAAAAAAGACATGCAATAAGTTATGGCCGGAGGGGGAGGAAATTTTCCCGAATATTACCTAGTTAGGGTTACCTGCAACGTTGTATCTCTGGTTTTCGATTCCTTCGTCCTTCCTTTCATAACATAATTTTTTCTTTATACGATTTTACTTTAAAATAAAACATTAATCGTTTCAGAACGTTACAATGATTTTATTGCTTACATTAAAAGATATACAAAAGTGCAGTTCCGTTTGTAAGCAAAGTAGGCTTGGAATATTCGACTGCCTGACCGACGTTTTGATAAGGGAGGCTGTCCATCTCGGGATCCAAGTGAATCGTGTTGACCTCTCCAGCCTTTCCCCACGTAGATAGTGGACGCAAATGTAATCATAATGATCAGGATGAATAGCGAAGACGATTGAGCCATGTCCGTCTGTCCGTATGAACGCTGAGAGCACAGGAACTATAAGAGATACAAATTTGAGATTAACCATGAAGATTTTTGAGGTCCCTACGCAGCGCAAGTTTTTTACACCATCCTGCCATGTCCACTCTAACGCCCACAAACCGAAACACAGTGGCGTCTATAATATTATTATAAATACCTTCATTTGACCTTCGTATAATTTATTTATGTTAATATCAATCGATTTACCAAAGATTTTTTAAATTGGAACATTATTTCTCTATTTATGAAGAAATTAAGGTTATAAGGCCTCACATGGGAAGTGACGTCACTATTAGTTACTCAACATTCTTTCTCTGACAATCGGTGGCGCGTTGTGAATTTCCACAAGCAAAATGAATATGTTAATGCTATGTTAGTCGCGGCACTCGACTATAGCATTGCATTGTTGCATTCTGTTATTGTTGAGTTTTTTTGTTTTAATTTTTAAATCCATCCTAAATTAGATTTATCTTAATTATTTTTGCTTATATCTGATATTGGTTTGTTCGTGTTTGGAGGAGGTTATGAGATAGTGAAACGATTGGTACGCATTTCCTTTTAAGGTTTCAGATGAATTTTAATATTTTAAGGAGTTAAGATGTTCTGTTGCCAGCCTTCCCTACCGAGATAATAAAAACTACATGTGTTGACCAAAAAATTAATGTCCTATGTCGGACTTATTAAAGATTTTTCCCGACCTTGTCTGGATAGTGTCCCTTCGGTCATCTTGAACCTCCTCTGCCTTGAACCGTTGATTTTCTTCGGTTTTTATCTGTTTATTGGCGACATTTTTATATATTTTATATATATTTTTATTGCCTCGAATGTCCTCAAGAGTTTGCTGTTTAAAATGAGATAGTCCTTGGTAGTTGATTCTAGAAAAACGGTTGAAAAAAATGTCTACGGCTGTTATACTCGTCACCGAGTGGACAGAGTTATTGTACTTCTCTACGACAATAGAGATAAGCTCGGTGGCCTTAAAAGTGGTATAATTCGCTATTAAGCATCGATATATTTCCATGAAGGTAGAATGGAATCTTTCTGGCCGTTTACATCGCTTTTCTGAGTTTGGTCATGTTAGTGTATAGGTGTGTCCCCTTGTATTTGACTAGCAAAGATTCATTATAAGTGGGGTTCCCAGGCAATGCAAAACAATAAAAGACAAATTCACAAGAATCACGTTTATTAATATATGACATATGCAAATAGCGCCCGCGTTAGATGCGACGTGCGTGTTCTCTCGCTTGCCGAAGACGACTGGCTTTGCCCTCTTCCCGCTTTCGTTCTCGCTCCCACGCATCGTCCCAAAGTGCGAGAGCGATCAGCTGATTGCTCTCCGCTCCTCGCTCCCAGCTTCCATCACACTGGGACAAGCAGCAAACTTAACAGATAGAGTTCGGTTTCCAATGTTCTCAAGTAGTTTAGAACAGTACGGCATAGAAAGCCTCTTTCGTTATCAGTTACTATCATTCTAGGCGCCGTGAAGTAATGAAGTGCGTCCAAGAGTGTATCGCGAAGATTGATAGCTGATTTCGATTGTAAGGGGAAAAGTTTGTCAAATTTGGCGAATTTGTCGGAAGCGTTTCCGACCCTATAAAGTGTATATATTCTTGATCAGGATCAATAGCGAAGTCGATTGAGCCATGTCCGTCTGGCCGTCCGTCTGTCCGCCCGTCCGTCCGTATAAACGCTAAGATCTCAGGAACTATAACAGATGCAAAGTTGGGATTAAGCATGAAGACTCTTGAGGTCCATACGCAGCGCAAGTTTATTTCCGCATCCTGCATCCTGCATCCGCATCCAAAAACTGAAACCGCCAAGATCTCGGGAACTATTTGAGCTAGAAAGTGAAATTCAGTATGTATAATCTTTGGATGCCAGCGCATCTTATAGTGGTACTACTATCCGGCCACACCCACCCATACGTTCACCAAGCTCAAAAGACGATTTTCGCATATTCTAGAAAACCTGATATCTCGATAACTGTAAGTGATAGAAAGCTGTGCTTAGGAGTACGTAATTAAAGGATGCCACTGACACTTGCCCCTAGTTCACGGTCACGCCCACTCTAACGCCCATAAACCGCGGGAAACTCTGGCGTCTATAATATTATTATGAATGCCTTCGATTTACCTTGTATAACTTAATTCTGTCTATATTTATCGATTTACCAAAGATTTTTTAAATCGGTACATTATTTCGCTATTCATGAAGAAATTTAGGTTATAAAGCTTCAGATGGGCAGTGACATCACTATCAGTTACTCAACATGCCTTCTCCGACA